TTAGGAAAAAGATTTTCACTACAAATTCAATTCCTTCCATAGACACAGGGCTATCTGGGTTTTCTATTTCCTCTTGAGTGCACTGAGATGACTTGTGTCCTCCAAGGATTGGTCCATCTCATCTAAGCTTTCAAACCTACTGCCATAAGCAGTTCATAGTAAGTCTTTTATTGTTTTAAGATGTAGACATGGAACTTCATTCCTCATATCGATAATTCACCTTCTCTTTATCTCCTAATCTGTCTGGATAGAAGTTTATCAACTTTATTGATATTCTCAAATCTCAAAGAATCAGATTTTGGTCTCATTCATTTTTTTCTCTTTTCTATTTCATTGATTTGCTTTTATTTTATTACCTTTATTTCTTTCCTTCTGTTTACACTGGATTTAATTTGCTCTTCATTTTCTAGTGTCTGAAAGTAGAAGCTAAAGTCACTGACGTGATACCTTTTTTTCTAACACAGGGCTTAGTGCTATCAATTTCCCTTAAGTACTGCTTTAGTTGCACCACAGGATAAAAGCTCAATACAAGAAAACAATTGTATTTCCATATACCAACAATGAACAAGTAGGAACCCAAATTAGAGGGAAAAAAAAATTTACAATAGCTTCATAAAACATTCCAGCAGGATTTTTTTTTATATATACAAACAGCTGATTCTCAAATTTATATTGGAATACTAAATAGACAGAATAACCAAAATAATTTTGAAAAAGAAAAAGCTGGAGGAATCACACTATCAGACGTTTTAGATTTATAACAAAGCTACAGTGATGTTGTCCATGCAGGACTAGCAGAAGGATAGACAAACAGATGAACAGAAAACAGGGAGTCCAGAAACAGACCCACATACATATGGCCAATTAATTTTTAATGAAAAATCAAAGAAAATTCCGTGAAGAATGGATAGCCTCTTCAATAAACTGTGGTGAACAAGTGGACATCCATCCATATGGAAAAATTAAAATTACACACCTGCTAAAAAGTTACTTCAAACTAGATCACAGATCTAAATGTAGTATGTAAAATTACAAAACAGAGAAGAAAACAGGAGAAAAACTTCAAGACCTTGTGGGTAGGCAATGGTATTTTTACATATAACACTAAAAAAGCAAAATCCAGAAAAGAAAAAAAAATTGATAAATTAGGCTTGGAATGTTAACAATTTTGCTCTATGACAGACACTGTTAAGTGAACGAAAAGACAAGCCTGGGAGAAAAAACAGCAAATATCTGACACAAGATTTCTACCAACTATGTAGTGCCTAGGGAGCTCTGGTAGCGTAGTGGCTAAGGCACTTGACTGCTAACCAGAAGGCTGGTGGTTCAAACCTACTAGCCACTCCTCGGAAGGAAGGTTGGGCAATCCTACTTCCGTAGTGATACTGCCTCGGAAACCCAAGGAGGGGTCGCTATGAGTCAGGGCTGACTCCACGGCACATAACAACAACAACAAATGTAGTGCCTAAGGCACTTGACTGCTAATCAGAAGGCTGGCGGTTCAAACCCACTGGCCTCTCCTCGGAAGGAAGGTTGGGCAATCTACTTTCCATAGTGATATCGCCTTGGAAACCCAAGGAGGGGTCGCTATGAGTTGGGTCCAACTCAATGGCAATGAGTTTGGTTTGGTTAGTTATGGACAAAAAACTCTCAAAACTCAACAATAAGTAAACAAAAAATCTACTTTAAAAGTCAGCAAAAGATTGGCCAGACACTTCATCAAAGAAGATACATGGATGGCAAGTATGCACGTGAAAAGATGTTCACCATCATTGTCCGTTACAGACCCACAATGAGATACCATTGAACATTTATTAGAATGGCTAAAAAAAAAAAAAAAATTAAAAATATTGACAATGCAACGTACTAGTGAGACTGAAGAGCAGCTATAACTACCTTTGCTTTCAAACAACTTTTTCTCACACGCTAAATATGCTCCAATATTTTGACATTATGGCTTCGGACAAAGACACACCAGTTTACTACACAGGTTCTAGTCAGAGGGCATCATCTAGAACACACTGGAATTGCACACCATGTCTGAATGAACCATGAAACATTTTGCCTTGCATGGGTAGAATCTTGGGGACTTCAGTTTGTGGTGTATGTTATTGCCTCATTGTAGAATCACTCCTGTATTTAGCCTTCATTTTGTCCTAAGGCAGGGGCTCAGCAAACATTTCCACAGTCAGTGGTTCATTAGCTCTGTGTTCCAACAACTTAGCTCTGCTCTCCTAGCCGAGGAGCAACAGCAGACAAAAGGTGAACAGGTGTGGAGGTGCCTCCAACAAGCTTTATTTACAGCTGACTATAGCTGGATGGGAGCTCTGGTAGCATAGAGGCTAAGACACTTGCCTGCTAACCAGACGGCTGGCGGTTCAAACCCACCAGCCACTCCTTGGAAGGAAGGTTGGGCAATCCTACTTCCGTAGTGATACTGCCTCGGAAACCAAGGAGGGGTCGCTATGAGTCGGGGCCGACTCGACGGCACATAACAACAACAACATAGCTGGATGGGGCTGTATTTTACCGTCCTGTCACAGTGGCTGGAGCAGTAGTCAGCAAGGGTGGGCCTATGAACATTTAGAGCCCAGCAGGAAGCTAGAAGACCGAACCAAGCTGCCTTTCATTGGCACCAAGCACTGGACTAGTTAGTAGCTGCGTGGTTATGTTGGGGAAACATCTCCCTGCTGGTAAGCTGGTCCCAAGGCAGTTTCAAGAGGTCTTCTCTGATCATATCTCACCTTCAGTAGCACACACACAGTTTCTCAGTCATTTCACGAGCTGTGCGGCGAGGGGGTAGCCAGAAGCCCAGGAGGCTGAGGGCCTAAGGCAGAGCTGTGTCAACAGCCCAGATCTCGGGTGGCTTATTGAATCCACGAACAACTGCCTCTTTTGCCATGAGACCTGAAGAACCAGCTACCACGACTGAACATTTTGATCAGATTCTATAGAAGAATCCACAGAAAAATCTGATCAAAAGGGGGGAAATGCGGAAGAGAATTTCAAATTCTCATGGATCGAGTCTTTCTAGAGCCATGGAGGGTTTACGAACCCCTGAAATGATTGCCCTGAGATAATCTTTAAACCAAAAGTATTCCTGAAGTCTTCTTTAAATCGAACAGCAATTTAGCTTAACTAGTAAAAAAAAAAAGGCTGGCGGTTCAAACCCACCAGCCACTCCTCGGAAGGAAGGTTGGGCAATCGACTTCCGTAGTGATACCGCATCAGAAAGCCAAGGAGGGGTCGCTATGAGACAACAATAGTAAAAAAGAAAAGAAAAAAAAAAAAAAGTTCTGCCTTGAGGATTTGCTCTTAGAAGAACTGTCTCTATGGGAGCAAAATGACACTAGCAATTGGAAAGATGAGACAGGAACCTTAGGAGGCACTGAGTTTATGTTAACCCGGGAAGAAATCATAGAAAAGGAGAGTGAGCATGGCCACACACCTCAAAGACTGTAAACAACGTCACTGAATTGTACACGGAGAAATGGCTGAACTGGTGTGCTGTGTGTATTCTCAACAAGTACAAAAATAAATTATAAAAACCAGAGCCCAAGTCTCTGGACCTCAACCCCCGGGCTTCCCCACTGACCCATGAACACAGGAAGTATCTTTTTCTGTCCCATCGTGAAAGGAACCGAAGAGACAAACGTTCCTCCAGGGTTGTCCAGGGACTGTCATCAGCGTCATCGGGAATGTCAGGAAGAATTCAGCCCGCCAGTCAGGCCTACTGAGCGAGTGTCACCTGGGCACGCAGGTGATTTGACCCAGACCCCAGGTGAAGGAGCGGCGCCTCGTTCTTCCAGGCCATCAGGAGGCCTAAGACACAGGGCAGCAGAGCTAGGGCCCGGGGCATTATGGCGAGGCCCCTGGGCTTCAAATATCCACAGCAGGCTTGAAGGAATACACTTTATTAATCTAGCTTTCAAACACTAGAGGCTAAAAATCGGCTAATTATAACAACCTATTTACAAAGTGCAGGCCGGGTGGTGGGGTTGGGGCTGGTTCTTGCCAACCACTCACCAAGCCCAACCTCCAGAGGGGCCTGGGGTCACTTTCCCCCTGCAGCAGGAACACCTGGCACACAGAGGACATTTCTATACACCTGACCAGGCTCTCAGCGGTGGAACACCAGCTGAGAGGGCACCAGACCAACAGAGCTGGACAGACAGACACAGACAGGGGCCAGGACTGCCCGTGAGCCTGTCTCAGTACTTCTTCAGGTTGTAGGTCAGGCTGCCAGGGACCCGGGAGCCCTGCAGGGGCGGTGAGTTCCAGACGGCAGAACTGGTACGTTTGTGGTAGCGGGGCTTGCTCTTCTTGAAGATGTCCTCCAAGTCCAGTGGAAGAATGGTCCCAAAGAGCTCAAGGAGGTTTGGAGGGTGGTAGTACTGGTGGATGATGGCCTGGCTGAGCTGGGTGCCTGCAGTGGGGCATAGAGGGCGGGTCACTGCCCTGAGGCTCTCGGTGAGCCCCTCGTCTCCCAGCCCCGTCCACAGGGCCCGTCACCCTCTGTGCCCCAGCAGGTTCACGGAGCCCTCCTCCTGCCTCTCTACCACCGAACTCTGGTAACACTCTTCGTTCAGTTTCTCCTGGCTAGCTTAACCTGAACACAGGGTCTCCAGGGCTTACGTGGGCCAGGCTCTGGACCCACGACTACCTTTTCTCCCCAACCAGGCGGAGGCTATGGGAGGTGTACAGCCCTGCTAACCAGGTGGAGGTTACGGGAGGTGTACAGCCCTGCTAACCAGGTGGAGGCTATGGGAGGTGTACAGCCCTGCTAACCAGGTGGAGGCTATGGGAGGTGTACAGCCCTGCTAACCAGGCGGAGGTTACAGGAGGTGTACAGCCCTGCTAACCAGGCGGAGGTTACGGGAGGTGTACAGCCCTGCTAACCAGGAGATCCTGGGCATCAGGTGGCAACATGCACCTGGCACTTGTTCTGTACCAGGCGCTATTTCCAGAGCTGCCTTGTTTATCCGGGTCTCGCAAGTTTTCCGCCTTTGACAGGGTACAGTCTCACCACCTCTCTATTGCTTCTCTAAGTGGGAACCATTGGAGTTCTCCTCTGACAGGTTTCTGCCTTACACAGGTTCTGGTTTTCGCAGGTTTTACTGGACTGACTCATTTCATCCTCAGTACACCTGCTCAATTGGGGGTTACTGTCACCGCACTTCACAGGTAAGGTAAGCTGTCTATAGTCAATGTGACATTCAGCTTTGGAATTGCACTGATGCCTGCCTGCTGCCACCCACCTCCCTGATGACCTGACGCCAGTAGTGAAGGAGACAGACTACAGATTCATAAAAGCAGGTCACTTTCTACAGAACACCAACCCCCTGGTGGGATTCCTGGCCCTTCTCTCTGTGGCCTGAGACTGCATCCCACCCTGGCCCTCAGCTCAGCAAACTCGGTAAAGCAACCAATGGCTGCACTGGCTGGCTGCTCCACGCCCAAACAGGTCTTGCTCCCAGGCCCGAGGAGGCACAGTCATGCTCATCACACTCTGATTTCAACACTGGGGCCAGTCAACTCCAAGGTCAAACCCTGCTCAAGAGCTCCCCCCGTGACTCAGGGCTTTTCCGCCTTCCCAATTCCAGCGCTCAGCCCAAACCTGATACCACTCTTAGCGCCACTCCCACCTCAAACCACTTCTTTGTATCCACGTCTCATCATCCTCAGTGGGGCCTACAGCCCAAGCTAGAACGCCAACCCAGGGCGGCCTCGATGTATGTATTTGTTGAGAACAAAAAAGCCCCACTGCTGCAGGCATGGTCCTCAGGGGAGCCACTGGAGCCAGGGGGCCCACCCTTCCGTGGGCACATGCCCAAGGTCTCATGGAGGCTCACTGTCATGCCTAGGCCTTAGGTCTCCATGGCGCAGTAACCCACATGTGCAGTGTCTAGAGCCCGAGAAGGTACAGGTGGGGACCCAAGGCTCCCGCGGAGCTCTGGGTGCTGCTTACCGCTGGCCCAGGCAGGGATGGGCTTCCGGGGGTTGGCCTCGTCATCGGTGGAGTCATCGCTGTTCAGATCCATCCCGTAGTTATCTGGGTTGATCTTGGGGGGCCCCCTGTGCCCTTGTGGAGTCATTTGGTAAGAGGTACAAACTGGAGACTGGAAGAGATCAACGTGGCCATCAACTCCCGTTCCCCCTGCTTCCTGTTCCCTGCGCCCCAGGGGCTCAGAGCCAGACCCACAAGGCATCAGGACTCTTGTCACCACCCCTCATTTCACAGAAATGAAAACATCCAGGCCCCATTCCTTGAAGTTAAGAAATCAGACCACACACAGCACTCGCTAGTGCCCTGCTCCACGTTAAAGTATGTTGGAGACATTCTTCCACATCAGCGCATGCAGACTCACCTGTCTTCCTAACAGCTCTGAATGTCTCACTGGGCTCCTGTATTTGTAACCTAACCACCCGTTATGGATGAACGTGTACCTAGTTTCCAAGTTTTCAACATTTTAAACTATGCTGCAGTGAAATCCTTCCTCATACAACATTGTGTTTGTAACAGCATTAAAGCAGAAAAAAAAAAAAAAACCCTCACTGCTGTCAAGTTGGTCCCAACTCACAGCGACCACTCCTTGGGTTTCCGAGGTGGTCTCTCTATGGAAGCAGAATGCCCAGTCTTCCTTCCGAGGAGTGGCTGGTGGGTTTGAACTGCCAGCCTTCTGGTTAGCAGTCAAATGTCTTAGGCTCTACGCCACCAGAGCTCAATGATCGTGGTTGGCTTGCGGAATTCTGGGGCATAAAACTAAGGAACACTACTAAAAAAAATACCCCAAATCAAACCCATTGCCATCAAGTAGATTCTGAATCATACTGACTCTACCAGACAGAGCAGAACTGCCCCACAGGGTCTCCAAGGCTGTACTCTCTATGGGAGCAGGTCACCACGCCTTTTCTCCATGAGCCACTGGGTGGGTTTGAACTGCTGACCTACTGGTTAGTACCCCAGCACTTACCCACTGCACCAGGGTTCCTTTAAGGAACGCTTAAGGGGAGCTTTGGTAGCATAGTGGCTAAGACACTTGCCTGCTAACCAGACGGCTGGCGGTTCAAACCCACCAGCCACTCCTCGGAAGGAAGGTTGGGCAATCCTACTTCCATAGTGATACTGCCTCGGAAACCCAAGGAGGGGTCGCTATGAGTCGGGGCCGACTCGACGGCACATAACAACAACAACAACAACAGATAAATGTTAAAGACAGGAAACATATGTGCTGAAATACAGATGCTGACAATAAAATAAAAAAAAAGAGGGGAGAAAAAAATAATGAAGCTGCCGAATATGTTGTTGTTGTTGTTATGTGCCGTCGAGTCAGCCCCGACTCATAGCGACCCCTTCTTGGGTTTCCGAGGCAGTATCACTACGGAAGTAGGATTGCCCAACCTTCCTTCCGAGGAGTGGCTGGTGGGTTTGAACCACCAGCCTTCTGGTTAGCATTCAAGTGCTTTAGCTGCTATGATAGCCATTTAAAAATATGTATGCACACATGTGCATGTGTATGACAGGATTATACATGTATGTGTGTGCACGTGTGTGTGTGTGCAGGATTATATATGTAACTATGTGTGCACATGCATGAGATATGATTATATATGTAAACATCTGCAGTACAGACACCAGTTCAACAGAAATCTTCTGAGAGTAAATTTCTTTTCTTTTTGACTTTATAGTCCTAGGGGGTTTTTTTTTTTAACAGCCAATTCTATTTTTAGAATAAGAAAGAACAAACATCTCAAAACTAATCAAACCAATGAGGCTACTTGTGCTCTTCCTTTGTCCTGGGGCCCTAATCCAGCCCAGGCCGCCCGGCTACTGGGGCGCGAGTAATCAGAGAGGGCCCTCTCCGTCTGGACCCAGCCTCACCTGCACGTCCGCAGTCACATTCGGGCCCTTGCTGGACGCCGCGGCCTCCTTGGCTTTCTTCTCCTGTTCCTCCTGCAGCCGCTGCTCGGCCAGGCGCTGCTGCTCTTCCTGGGGTCCAGACACCGGCCGCAGCGTTAGGAGCCAGGTATGTGCCTGCCCTCCCCCCTGCAGGGCGACCCCACACGGCATGGCAGCGAGGCAACCCCTGCACCAGGATCGGGCCTCCCGACGCCCCCAGCCCAAAGCTCAGGAAACCCCACGGAGCCCCCAACCTTGTGCTTCTTCTCCTCCAGCTCCCTCTGCAGGCGCTCCTTCTGCAGACGCAGGGCCTTCTCCTGAGCATCCCTGGGGAGCAAGCAAGCAAGGGCCTGTCAGAGCAGGAAGTGGAGGCCGGGCCCTGGCCCTGCTAGGAAAGCCAGGAGGCCCACCAGGAGGACTCGCCGGAGGAGATGGTATGGCAGAACACTCACGCTGGCTTGGAGTCAAAAGCTGCTTTCGTCCAAAGGGCTAAGAGCAGGCACCTCAAGGGTGAGGGAGTAGGAATAAGGCCCGGCTTGTACTAGTCATGTAACCTCTGGGCCTGTTTCCTCTTCTGTCAACTAGAGAGGCTGGTTCCAATGCCATAGTGGCCTCAGGCGAGGATTAAACAAGGAAACATGTACAAGCACGGGGCCCAGTGTCTGGCACAGGGCTGTGGCCACACCACACCAGCACCACACAAAACCCCAGCACTGACAGTACCCACCGAGTTCTAAAAACACACTCACTGCCCCCCAAGCCTGTCTCCCCCTCTGACTGCCAAGGAAAGTCAGCCCAGTGCTCTTCTCTCTGACCCGGTCCACAGCAGCCCTTCGTGCCAGTCAACATCACAAAGCCCCGAGAGATGGCTCAGCCCTGTGGCACCCGCTGGCTGTGACTCTCCCACCTCTCCAATGGGCCCCTGGCCACCCACAAAGATGGATACAGAAAGAAGTCTCACTCAGCCTTCTGGCCTGCATGCTTCTCAGAAGCGGAAGCAGGAGCGAGCGTGGCTGTTGGGCCTGGTCTGGTTCTGTGTGTCTGCACAACCATGTCTGTGTGTTTGTATGAACACCGTAATCTGATTACACACAGCCATGTCCGTCTTCACCGTCAGGCACTGAAAACCCAAACCCACTGCTGTCAACTCATTGACCTGTGGGACAGGGCAGAACTGCCTCATTGGGTTTCCAAGGCTGTAATTTTCATGGAAGTTGACCATCTCATCTTTTTACTGGAGAGCAGCTGGTGAATTCGAACCGTCGACCTTTTGGTCAGCAGCTGAGTGCTTAACCGCTGCCTTGCCAGGGGTCCCTGCTAATGGGCACAGGATTCCACACACCTCCTGGCCAGTAATAACTGCGTCCCAGGGCCCAGTAAAGCAGGCACGGGGAGGCCCAAGCTGCGCTTGCACAGCTAACGGCAGAACTCCTGTCTGCTACCGAGAACACGGCATCTGCCAGTCCAGAGCCCAGGGGCCATCGGTCTACCGTTCTCCGTGGCGAACAGTCTGGAAATGCCAGGGGAGAGGGTCAACCTGAGTCGTCACCATCACCAGGGAGGAACATTAAGTGGGCAGAGGCCAAGGATGCTACCTGTCCTGCAATGTACCACCTGTGGTGCCCTGCTGAGAAATACTGGCTCATACCATCTGTGACACTTAAGGTTATGTGTCAGCTTGGCTGGGTCTGGTTTTGAGTGGCTGGGCAGGTGGTTGTAGTTGTTCTACCCGATAAGACTGGCAATGAACTCCATGGTGGAATCTGCCGTGAGCAGCTGAGTAGCTGCCTTAGGCATGTGGTCTGCTCCCAGTATATATGGAGAAGCTTTGGGAATGGTCTCTAGCTTTTTGGCATGCTTGGACCCTGCAGGTAGCCAACTCTTCATTTAGTAGCCTGCCGTGTTTCCTGCTGATCTTAGGACTGCCCCTGGATGTGAATTAGTGGCCTGCCGTGTTGTTTGGTAACATCGGGACTGTGCCATTTTGTTTGTGGACCTTGGGTTTGTCAGCCTCAGCAGCCAGCAGCTGCCTGAGTGAAGAGACCTCTCCAGCTCCAGTGGGCCGGAAGCAAGAGGCAGAGCTGAAGCCCAAAGGTGAGGGGCTTTCACCTGGCCCCTAGAGCCTGACAACTCTGAACTTAGACTCCTAGCCTCCAAAACCGTAAGAGAATAAACCCGCATGTTCAAACCATCTGTGACGTTTCTGTTAGAGTGGCACTAGAGCAACCAAAAAAGCTGTCCTCCTTATGTCAGCTGAGGGAAACCATGAACCAATGGGGTGGCACAGGCGGGCAGAGGCAGAACCAAGACAAAACCCCCAGGGACCCTACCCGCTGCCCTGTGTACCTTGTTGGAGTGAGGCCCTGCTGTGGGCAGCTGGGTTTGGAGCCAAGAGAAACCTGCCCTGCTTTGTAAACCACCAAGTGAAGGTGGATGATGTGTCTGGGTGACTGCTTCCCCACTCTCACCCACAGCCCCAGGAGCGCAGGGCGGGGCGGGGGTGGCGGCAGCGGGCCCCTCACCTCTGAGCCTCAGCCCCAGCCCCAGCCCCAGCCCCAGGAGCGCAGGGCGGGGCGGGGGTGGCGGCAGGGCAGCGGGCCCTCACCTCTCCGCC